GAAACCTGGATGAGAAGCCCCACCTGCAAGTTCATAGTGAGAATTCTGGGAGTCAAATTCTATCACAGCACCTGTCACAAAGTGTATGCTGAACACATGCTGAACCCTGATGCTTTGAACAGAAAAGTCCTGCTGGGAATTTCTCCTGACTCTGGAGGGGACCAGTGTCACATCTCAGATCTTGCACACAGGTCCCTTCTCCTGGAATGTCCTCCCACCAGGCCTTCATCTACCTCTGTCTTTGAAAGCCGATCTCCGGAGGTGAACTTCCGGGTTGAGATGGGAAAGCCAAGCAGCAGCTCACGGTCTCCCCTATAGAGACAAATCAAATGAATGAGGAAGGTTCCCAAATGGTCACATGACCATCTGATGAGTGAAACAACATGATCCCCAAATTCTCCTACAGCACCCAGATGAAGATAGGAATAGATCACAGCAGTCACTTCATGAACTAGCTTCTATGGAAAGAAATCAAAGGATTGGATGAAGCTTTAAAAATTCCCTACAGATGGACCCCTGTCCATTTATAACAGCGGCAAGAAACATAAGGCACCAAGGAACATTTTTAAAATTTAAACAGGCAACACCTCCACACTGAAAAATACAGAATGTTGCTGACAGAAATTATAGAAAATCCACATGAATGAAGAAATATACCATGTTCATGGATGGGAAGAAACAGTATTGTTAAGATGTCCGTTTTCTCCATATTGATTTCAAGTAATCCCAGTCAACAGACATAAAGCTAGAGTCATCAAGAGAGTGTGGTGTGGACAGAACAGAGTCCATAAACGGACCCACACACTATACAGAATCCACTGAACTACACCCAGTCTATTCATTTAGGAAAGGAAGGACTTAACAAATTGGTAGAACAAGTGGATTAAGCTTTGGACAAAATGAACCTTATCAATGATACATTTGGTTTATATAATTTGAATCATGCAGTTTGTACTCATGTGTTTTTTTCATTCAGTATTGGTGTTTTTGAGATTCATCCATGCTGTTGTGAGTATGAGTATTTTGTTCCTTTATTGCTGAGTAAGATTCCAGTATATTACACTTGGTTTACCCCTTTTTCTGTTGATGCACATTTGGTTTGCTTCCATTTTTTAAAATTATGGCATCAATTGAGAGTGGGGTTTCTGCCACCCCAAAGCACAGCTCTATTCCCAAGTTCACATAAAGTGAAGGATGAGGTCATTCATGGGTTTTCGTCATTTCCCCACAGTCAGGTTCTGCCCATAAACCCTTCTGACCATAAAGAACTCAAGAGATCCACTAATATTCCCTCACATATCACAAAATGAAGGCTTTCAGGCCAAGGGATGGGAGCATTAGACCCAAGTATTCAGAGGGTAGAGGACAGATAGGTCCTTTATCCCAGAGTTTCTCTGCGAAAGGGAGACTTCAAACACTCGTTCTTATGGAGTAAATGTGTCTCTAGTCAATGGATTGTTAGTAATTTAATGGGAATTCTTCGACATAGGGAATAAATACAAGCTTTAGAATAGGGAAAACTCGGATTCAATTCTGGCTTTTCCACTTACCAAGGGGGTGACATTGGAAACTTAGTCACTCTACTTCTCTGTTACTCAGTGTCCTGCTCTGCAAAGTGGGGAAATAATAAGCCCCATCGCACAAGAATGTTGTGATACACGTAAAGCACTGTATGCAGGTCCTGATACAGGTGTGTGTTCATTGTGTGCTGCTTCCTTACTCCTTGAAAAATGCAATTTTCTGCTGGCAACTTAGCCTGATGCTACTTGTGACAAGTCCTGTCGTTTATTAAATGAACACACGACATCTCAATCAAAGGAGCTAAAATGTCACCAGCAACATCCAAACCACGTAATGAATAAAAAAATCACACCATAACTTCTTTTTTTTTTTTTTTTTAAAGATTTTATTTATTTATTTTTCCCCCAAAGCCCCAGTACATAGTTGTCTGTCATAGCTGCACATCCTTTTAGTTGCTGTATGTGGGACGCGGCCTCAGCATGGCTGGAGGAGTGGTGCCTCGGTGCGCACCCGGGATCCGAACCCGGGCCGCCGGCAGCGGAGCGCACGCACTTAACCGCTAAGCCACGGGGCCGGCCCACACCATAACTTCTTAATGGGGTCAAATGGAAAGAGTTAGAAGTTTGTAGTGTGGCACTGAAAATTTCCTGACCCTCTATAATTACCTCTTCTCCAGAAGCAAGAATATAAGGGGAAAAGTTGGGCTGAGAACACCGTGAGAATTTTCACGAGATCTTCCAATAGGCACATATGCTCATTCACATGAGTGAACAGACCTGAATAAAATCAACGAAAAGACTTCCAAAGAAGAAACCATTCATATCATTGTGGGTGCATCTGAGGGTGGCCAGAGCTATTCCATCTTCCATCACACTGTTCTGAGTTGGGGTTCAAAGAGAAACCCCAATGTAGGATACACCTCTGGGCTGATGGGGAGTTCCGTAGTGAAGGTTGGAGTGTCATAAAAGAGAGTCAAGTCCTGCAGCCCAGGAGGTCTGTGCTGAATCCCATTTTAGTTTTATCTTCTTTGTCTCCCCTTTGCTTCTGTCAACCCCAGATGCTTAGGTGTCAGAGAAGTTGATTGAAAGCAACTCCCACTCCCCAAACGCTAGCTCAGAGTGGAGTTGGCAGATACAATGTTTGGCCAAACTGTTTGTGTTAAGCATCAGAATATGAAAAATAATCACATGAACACTATGTAAACATACTGCATCAGAAAAGGGACAGAAACATACAAGGCTGTGTAAGCCAAAGAACCCAGTCTGAAAGTAATTATAATGCAGGTACAGAAGAAGATTCCTTTCAGGTGTTTACAATATAGAAGAACTTAATAAGACAGAATAGTGACTCCTAAATGCTCAAGAAAAATGTGAATAATTCTTAAATCTAGGTGATGGGTTTATTGTTTTACACTCTTTGGTATTTTTGAAAAAATAGTTAAATAAAAATTTGATGTTTTCCCAGTTCCCTTACTGAAACATTTTGTTTCAGTTTGGGTAATTTCTATCGATCAATCTGAAAATTTACTGATTCTTTCCTTTGTTGTGTCAAGTCTATTGAGTCCATCAAAGGCATTCTTTGCTTCTTTTATCTCATTTTAAAATTTTCTACCGTTTCCATTTATCTCTTTCTTACAATTTTCATCTTCCTTTTGAAATTCTCCATATGATCATGCATTTCACATACCTTTTCACTAGAGCTTTTAACTTAATTATTGTTATGTTAAATGATCCCATCTGATAGTTGCAACATCTGGTCGTATCTGAGCTGGCTTCTGTTGATTGGTTTGCCTCTTGATAGGCGGTTGCTAGTTCTACTTTTGTCCATTTAATAACTTTTTATTGAATTTTGGACATCATGTGTGGAAGAATAGAGACTGAGATGAACAGTGTTTATACCTGGAAGTGGGCATGCCACTTCTTTAGTTGCGAGGTTCATGTTGAATTCTGAATCAACCCAGTCATAAATGAGCTGGAATTTGGTTTTGTGGTTTGTGTAGTTACCTTCAGTCACCAGAGTTTCAAATTCCCCTATCATTACTTAGGATTATATTTGGGTTCTGGAAGGGGTTTTTAATGTTTTATTTCCCCACTTTTAGCTTTGGTCTTCCCTGAGACCTTGTTTCTCAGAGAGGTTCTCCTTCCATGGTCCTGCCCAATAGATTGAATGTGGTGCCAATCATTATCTAGAAAGTCTTAATTCGTTGGAACGGACCTGGAAGAGGCAAAAAAATCTTGAAAAAGTAAAAAGTTGTAGTATATTCATACTACAAGACATCAAGACCTGTTATAATGGTACATTAATTAGGGTCATGTGGGACTGTTACTAGGATAGACCAATAGAACAGAACAGAATATTCAGAATCAAACGTACACATATAAAATCACTTGATTTATGACAAGAGCTATACTTAGGTGCAGTGGGGAAAATATGTCCCTTTCAGAAACAGTGCTGGATCCATTGGATATGCATGGGAAAAATAAATGGGAACACCTACATTACACAATACATGAAAATCACTGCTAACTGTTGAGATATCTAAATGTAAATAGTAAAACTTCCAGTATTTTATTAGAAAATCACCTGTGCATTTTTGAGGATGTGCAAAGATTACTTAAATAGGGCAAATACTTATTAATAATGAAAGAACAGATTGATAAACTTAACTACATTAGAAGTAAGAAATTCTATTTCTAAAGACGCCATGAAGAAGATGTTTGCAATAAAAATATCCAAGAAATAACTTTTATGCAGAGTATTTAAGTGTCTCCCAAAAGTTGATAAGAAAAAGATCAGAAACCAAAGAGGAAAATTAGAAAACAGCTTAAACCCTTCACAGAAGAAGATGTTCAAAGTCCCCATAAACATATGAGACATTTCCCAATCTCATTAGTCATCAATGAAATGCAAATTAAACCCACAATGAAATTCCACCTATCTTTAGGATGGTTAAAATGAAAACAAAACAAAACAAAAGAAAAGAAGAAGGAAATATCAAGTATTGTCTAGAATTGAAACGACTGGAACACTCATATGCTCATGATTGGAATGTAAATTTTATAATTGCTTTGGAAAACTGTTTGGCAGTACCCACTGAAACTGAATATGCACGTACCCTATTACTGAGAAATGCCACTCTAAAAATATACCCAACAAAATTGCGTATTTATACCAAAAGACATGATTATAGCAGCACTTTTCAGAATAGTTGCAGTCTAGAAATAACACAAACATCCATCAAAAGTAGATGAGTTATATGGAGTGTGGTATATGCACACAATGGAATTCCTTCAAGAGTGAGAATGAATTAACTGCTGACATGTGAGTAACTCTCACAACAAAACTGTTGAGCACAGGAAGCC